GTTCTCAAGGAAGATAAGCTTGGAATCTTTGTCTTTTTATAGGGAGTGTCTTTGTTGAAAGTGAACCTGGTCATTGATCAATCTAGGTGACAAAATGTGAGTCTTTTCTGCTTTGTTATGCACTTTTTCTTCAGGCAAGTTCCCATCTCTCCTAAACTTCTCAAAGGAATGGAGTTCTATAGCCACCTCCTTAGTTCACTATCTTTCCTGCTAGAGAGGCAAGAGAAGACAAAACATCTCATTTTTATCTTTATTACACAAATCCAGGCTAAAAAATATGCTGTATTTCACCCACTAATACTCACTAATAGATAGCAGGAGTGGAAAAATACGTGGTCTTGGTCAATGAGCACTGTTTCATATTGAAGAAAAAAGTTAGACTGTGTTTCTGTGTTCTAATGTTGATTTGAAGTACATTTCAACTGCATATATTCTGTTTTGGAACCTTGATTATTTTGTCCTAGATCCTTTGTAATGCTAGCAAATTTTTATTCCAGAGTGCAAGTGGACCTCCAGCAGTCAGTATCTATAGGGTGGCCTAGGAGAAGTTCTTGGTGCAAGATTACAAACTGTTATTACTTTCACACAAATTGAATTGAAAGTGAAAACAGGAGGGAAGATGCCTGCAAGTTGTTCAGTATCAGTGCTTCCCCGTTAGAATAGAATAAAATGTGTACTGTCTTCATCTGTCTTAAATGTTCTCTTTTCTGGTGATACAGTCTCTCTCCTGGGCAGTGTTCTTTGTCTAATCCCCTGGTGACATTTTACAGTTAGAAGCTGGCGATTTCTGTAGCTTCCAAAGTTAGTTCAGTGAAACACTGTTCTTTTTGACATTTCAGTTAATTCACAATCAATTTGAGGGATTAATTTTCACGTGCTTGCACATGTACACTAAATAGATCATTACTATTTGATTAATATCTGCTATAATATTAAGATCTTTAGTCTTTACCACTGATAATTTCAGAACGGATAACTTAGCTCAGTCTGATGTCACCTGGTAAGCCTTGTAGCTGTTTTTTAAAAGAAGAGTCCTTTGCCAGCTTCAAACTGATCATAGTGCTTTCATAACAAAGTCTACAAACAAATGTGAAGCTCTGCATGCAGTGCAGTAACGACATTGTTCTTAAATGCATCGTGCTTTGTAGTTGCTTTAAAATAATTTTAAACTTTGGAATTACCCATCATACACGATATGTTCTTGTCGCCTCGTATTCGTAGTCAGACCAGAATTAAATGAAAACTGGATGAATTCTTTTGATGGGTTGTAGGCAAAGTTAATTAAATGCAAATGTTTTCTATGACCAAGCCATCACATTTCACTTCTTTGGTCTGGTAGAATGCTAACAGAAGTGTCAGGAATTCCTGTCAATCTGCCTGTCACTCATCACTTATGTGATGATGAAAGTGCTGAGAGATATGGCAAACAAATCTTGGAAATGTTAAGAGAAGAGGGAAGACATTAAATATGCTTTTCTTCTTTGGTATCTCTCAGCCTATTGCAGTTGCTGTCTTGGATGAATTTTTAAGAATGCTGGTATTCTTCAAGGCGTAATTTCTTGCAGAAAAACTCAGTTATGGTAATTGAATTATTCTGTTCCACACTCCACAGTCGCCCAGACAAAATAAACTTGAAATCTGTCTAGCTGCCTTTCAGAGCAAGGCTTTCATTAGGGTTCAAATCTAGAAAGCCAGAGATTTCTCTTGAAACCAGTGGCTGCAATACTAAGGAATGTGGAGCCTGTCAGGTGGCCTGTGAGTTCAGCATCGGGACTGCCCTGCGTGATCCTCAGTCATCACCTGCTCACCCGGGATTCAGCCATCCATGACATCCATGTAACTTCTCTGCAATTCAGTATTTGAAAAAGGAAAAAAAGCCACTGAAATTATTGGTAGAAGTAGAAAAGATAGAAGCTCCTGAACTGTTCCTACAGACTTCCATTTGTTTACATTTGTGGGTAGGTTATCTCATTAGAAATTTGAACTGTTTTAAGGAAGCCTGTATCTTTTCCACTTCAGGCAGGAATTGAGGGAAAAGTATTTTAGTTTGACTCGTTTGAGCTTCCCTCACTTTACAGTTGTGTTCTTAAAAACAAGGAATTTTTCATCTTATTTTGCCTGTTTAAGTATCATTAAGTAAGGAAGAACTGATCTACTGTTGGAGCAGTATGAATTGCTCATCACAGACCACCACAGGAATGCTTCCAGCCCTACCTCTCCATGTTCTACAGATGCCCAGTGATTGCCTGTGCATTAACTGCGTATTGTTAGGGATACTCAATTATTGCTTAAAAAAATTCTAACAATACCTGTTTTACTCCAGAGAAAAAATATTGCAAGCCACATTGCTTATTTCTGTACAATACAAGTGTCTCCTGAAAAAGCTCCAGCCCTGTTCATAGAATAACAGAGATTTTTGTAGAGATGCTCTCTCCATCCCATCTCAGCAGTAATCTAAAAACAAACAACACAACCTGGAAGCTGGAGTAAAATGTGTGTGACTGCCTGCTAGTGTCTGTCATTTCTTGATGATTTTTAAGTGACTTTAATTAAGTTTCTAATCTTAAGATTTCTAATGCTATGCTGGCAGTGTGCAGAAGTACTTTACAGAGGAAATATTAAGGAGACTGTTAGTGTCAGAGAGCTGCTTCTTTCAGAAGTATGTGCCAGGCATTTCACTTCACCATTTATAGTTGAGGTACCTATGAAATGGATCAGAGTAACTGCAAGAATGAGGAAATCAAATGAAATCAGGATGAGTGGGAAAGCAAGATGGATAAGAATGAGCTCACAACAGTGCAGTCTAGATTTTTAAATAACCTCATAAAAGACCTCCTCAAAAAAATGATGGTTGTAGAATTCTGTGCTGCATTTTGCCATCCTTTGAAGTATGTACGTTTTATCAATAAAAGAAAGCATAAATACAGAAAGTATTGCATAGATCAGCCTTGCAGTTTTTATCAGAGGGCTGTCGTTTTCCCAGTTTTTTTAATCATGATCCATCAAAGAAGTTAAAATTCATGACTCGCCTGTAGATGTGTTGAAATGCAATATTCACCCCTGTAGTGCCATCCCTTTTAGATTACGCAGCACTAAGAAGCACTGCTTGAGCCTTTTCATTATTCCAGCCAGATCCTTCTCAGATTGTAGTTGTAAATCTTTTTGGCTTAGTTGCACTTTCTGAATAATACTGGGGCTTGTAAATTAAAAATGAGATTAAGAATCTGGAATAACTTTCACATTTTCAATTAGTTAGATTTTTCTGAACATATTTTCATCCCATCTATTTTGTTTAAATGTTGAAGTACATTTTTGTATCTCAAGATTATCGTTTTTCTGGATCTTTTCTTAGCATATGTGTTTCTTGATTCGTAGCTTTTAAGCTTAACTTTTTGTGTCATATTTAAGTGCTAGAAGGAGCATTTGGTTTTTCACATCTGCTTAAAATCTTTGAGGTCTTTTGAGAATGCTGGACTTGAGGCAAGCTCAGCAGCAGGGGTTTTCTGACAGTCTTGCAGATTCCTTAGAGAGCCAAAAACCTTGAAACATGGGAACACAGCTCTTGCTGCAGGCACATGAACCAAGTCTAAATTCATCAGAAAAGCTGAATCACTGGATGAGTAACTGCTCCTAACAATCAGATGACATAGTATCATGTGTGTTTACCAGGGGAAGCTTTAAAAGCTTTGAGGAAAGGAGTTTCTCAGTGCAGTGAGCTGTAAGTTTGTTTTCTAGCAGGATCTACTTCTGTGTTTGAGAACTAAAAGTCCTCGATGCTGTTGCAGTGTGTCAAAGATTTGTTGTTTGGTTTTGGAAAATAACGTTGGTCTTAATGGTGTTCTCTGGGTTTAAAAGTTATTTATAAGATAACCTTGTCTGTTTTGATTCAACATGATGTTTCAAATACTATACATTTCCACATTGTAGATTTTCAGGTTCTTAACAGTATTTCCTCTTTCCTCTTGCCACTTGTATTAATTAAAACAGAATTTTGTTCCAACTCTAACATTAAATCCACTGAAAGCCTGAAGCTCTGTTCTGCCTTCTGTTTGTTGAGCTGGTAGTAGAGAAGATGACTAATATAATACATTACACATAAATACAGAATAACAGAGAACCAAATAAGTAATTATTTTTACAGATACCTGCAATGAGAAATGTTCTTTCTCACATCCAGTGTTAAAGTTTACCTAGATAAGGGCATTTGTTATTTACATCAAATAGAACAAATGAAGATGAAAAGAATGTCAGTAACTTCATAGAATATGACATAATTTTATTTTCTAAATAAATGTCTTCATTGGTGAATTTTGTTATAAATAATAAAAAATATGTACCTGTCAGTGGGAAACATAAAATGCCCTTGTACTATTTAAATCTATCCACTGAAATGAAAAGAGATTTGTGACAGTTTTCCAGCGACTGACCTACCTTTAGAGCATGAACTGGACGCTCACAAACTTCTGCTACTAACACTGGAACGGAAAAAGAAGACATTGCTAAAGGGTGTGAGGATGTAGGGTTTGTGTCATGCTTTCCTTACAATGTAGAAAGAGAGCTAAAAAATGTAGAATTTGGGTTCTTTTTTTTCTTGACTGGTTATACATGCTGTTTCTGTATAGACATCTAGGCATTTCAAGCTATTCTAGATTCTAATCCAGAACAGAATTTTTGCTTATTTAGCACTTAACTTGCTTGATAATGTTCAATAAAAACTGAGATTGACTCTTCTGCATCTTCAGTTGGTGCTCAATGAATGTGTTTGACGTTAAAGCAAGCCTTCCTGATGGTCTCTCAGCAGTTTCTCAGAACAATAAAAGCAGGTCACAGCTTACATGCTAATATTTCAAACTAAAAAGAAGATTTTTCATTTTACTTGAATGTTTAAACAGAATACAAACATTACTTTGTTGTTTATTTTTGTGTGATGTTTAGTAATTCTAGAGTGTATCTAAAAGAGAAGTTGTGATAATATTTTTCCCTTTTTTTTCTTTTTTAAGGCTCCTGCTAAGAGAGATTCAACACAAAGTACCATCAAAGATGACAAAGTCCATCTGTTGAAGTACAATATAGGAGATCTAGTGTGGTCAAAAGTATCGGGTTTTCCTTGGTGGCCATGTATGGTTTCTGCTGATCCTATTCTTCATTCCTACACTAAACTAAAAGGTATGTCCTTGATGCTACAGACATCTGGATTTCTTTCAGAATGTGAACATTATTTTGGGAAAGTTCTGTTCATTTTGTCTGTTCGTTTGTATCAGTAACTGAACCAGTTCATCACTGTCAAGAGGAATGTTAAAATCATGCAAGCACTATTTTTGAGCATATAGCAGTCTTAAGTTTTTCTACTATATTGGTGTTTTGGTGTTTTGTGTTTTTTTAACTTAAATGTTATCCAAAAGAGATCAAAGTTTTGATCTGTGAAACTGTTTGAAATCCTATTAAAAAGTTACCTGATGATACATGCTTTCCATTGTTTTTGTGGAGATGTTCTGAGCAGTGATACAGGCTGAATATTTTATTGAAAACTCATGGGGGTTAAATAATCCCAAATGATTATGCTTTACTAAAAGCAGCCTCTAATTCATCTTAATTTTCTTTGGTTCCTGGAATCAATAGTTATCTGCATGCAACATAAGTTGATTCTAAACGCAGGCACTACTGATTGAAATTCTTATGTAAGAATCTCTACCCATTTATTCATCATCTCATTTGTAGCTTCTTACTCAGTTCTTATTCCTTAATCTGTAGAGGCTGATCTGTGCTGGTTGTAGAATGATGAAGTAATAAAGCTTAGAAAGGATCCCTTGTAGTTGTATGGTCTCTAAGGTAGACCAGGGTACACAGTGCCTACTCCAGCACAGTGTTTGATGTCTTCAAAGATGGAGACTGTACAACCTTTTATATTAGTACCACGTTAATCCAGAGTCTGCCTCATTCTTCTGCATATCCTTCCTCCTAAGTTGTTGAAGACAGCAGTAAGATCTCTCCAAATGTCAGTGGATTTGATGTGGTTCGTTTACTTTTGTTTGGTTGTTGGGTTTTTTTTGAGACTTAAGAAGTGAAAGCTCTCTGAACGTCTTACTGTACATCACGTACTCTAGCTTCTTGTTGGCTCCTGTCTTCATTGTTCTGGGGAACCCAAAACTTGGTAGAGTATTTCAGAGGTCTCACGAGGGCTAAATAGAAGGCAATAAGCATATCTGACAGGCTTTATTCTTGCTAATGCAAGTTCCTGCCCCTCTTCACTACAAGGTTGCACTGTTGTTTCAAGTTTAATTTGATGTCTGCAAGGACCCTGCACCTTTTTTTGCAGTCTAGTTGGACAGCATCTGTCTGGTTACTACTGTATCAGGTTATCCCATCTCAGATGCAGGACTTTGTATATGACTTAGATGAATTTAATGAGGTTCCTATCAGCCTGTGTCTGCAGTGTTATAAGTTCTTCTGCACAGCAGTGTTGTTTTGACTAGAATCACCCCCAGTTTGCTAAAGGTGTGCTCTGCTCTTCTCCAGATTATTATTAAGATGTCAATCAGTGTCTGCCTTAGTATAGATGGACTCAGCTAGTAAAGGCCACAGGTTGGACTCTGTATCTCTCTTCACAACACTGTAAAGGCTTGGTGGCTAAGCCAGTTTTCTCTCTCTCTTTCATAATCATCTCTTATGTAGTGTTTTAAGAGCACTATGGAAACCATTTTAGCTGTCAAATTAAAGAAACTGCCCTTCCTTTATCCCGTATAGGAAATAAACAGATGAGGCATGATTTGTCCTTGGTGAATCTTTATTGGCTGTTCCCAGCCACGTTCTTTTCCTTCAAGCGCTTGGACATCTCTTCAAACAGGATTTGCTCTATTATCTTGTAGGCATTAAATTATTTGGCTGAGCTGGTAGCTCCACAGATTGTTATTTTTCTTGAAGATAGGTGTGATGTTTGCAATGTTTGTCTTTTTCCAGTCGTCAGGGATATCCGTAGTTGGCCTTTCAAAAATTACAGAGATCAACTTTCAACTACATTGGCCAACACGTTCAGCTCCTTCTAAAGCATCCCATCTGGTTCCATAATGTAATATATGTCCAATTTGCATAAGTGCTTCCTCAGTATTGTCGGGGTGGTGCTTCATTCTTACAGTCCTGGTCATTAGACTGAGGAATCTGAAGGCTTGGGGTAGGCATTACCAAATGAAAAAGAAGAAAAAAAAAAAAAAAAAAAAAAAATGGAGGGAAAAAAGACATAGAGCATTTCAGCCTATTCAGTGTCCTCTGGTACTTAAAACTGTGAACATTCCTCAGGCTTTCATTTGCTACTGTTGCATTTACAGAAAGTGTTTTTGCATTGCATCCCTCACTAGTTTTAGCTCCATCTGAACAATGTAAAGAATTTCTGCTATGTTTATTTCAAATTTTACTGAAAGTTTGGAAAACCTGCTAATGGAAATCCAAAGAAGTTGGAAATTATGGGGAAAAGCAAGTTAATAGGAATATCAAACCAAAGTAGGAGCACATAACCTTGCTTTTTTTATTTATGCTCCTAAATACTTTGATATATTTTATTAGGTCAAGAAAAGATATCAGTTTCCTTTGCGAGGAACAGAGTAAGACATTCACTTGTTACTACGAAGCCTTTAAGTATGTATTTCCAGGGTTGGTTTTTTTTTTTGTATGTATGTGAAAGAGCAGGGAAGAGAGGGTTCTTTTTAGTTGGGGAGGAAAAGGACTTCTCCTTCATCATTCAGTTGTTATCAGGGATTGCATTGAGAACTTGGAAAACAAACTACACATGTAAAATTTGTATTAGAGCTACAAATTTCTAATGTGGATAGAATGTAAACATGTAGGATTGGAAATGAGAGTGATCTTGATGCTTTGTGGGTGTGGTCTGAAAAATCCTGCTCAGTAGGAGTAAGTAGATTTTTACAGTGGTAGAAGACCAAGCTGGAAAATGAATGCAAAGCTGTGTTACTGCAGGCAAAATCTGAGTGTCATAATAGCCCCATATAGTTGTGTCACCCGTAGGACCAAAATTATACTGTCATAAATAATGCTGGTCATAAAATACATGAAATAGATCCTTTGCTTTTTCAGTAGCTGCATCATGTTCATTTCATCCAGTTTGAGCCATCTTATTTCAAGAGATGTGGACTAAATGGAGAAGGTACTGAGGGAACATAAACAACAGTGTAGTGTGAGAACAAACTGAAGGAAACGGAATTGTTTAAGCTGATGAGGAAAACCCATTAACTGCCCTTAAATAACATGCAAAGGAGAAAAAGCATAAATGCTTCTTGCTCTGGAAAGAGGCGAGCTTAGTAACAAAAAATATTTAGACTACATATGAAGATCAACTTGGAAGTATAAAAGACAGTGAAGCATTGGAATGAATTGCTAAGAGAGACTGCGTGATCTTATTTGTAATAGGCTTTTAAAACAAAAGAGAGCTGCAGGTAGACTCCATGTTATTAGTAATCTAAGTGGCTTCTTGGGATCCTTTCAAGCATTCATGCGATTGCTAAGTGGCTATTATAGATTCTTGGGACAAATTTTTCCTGTAGCAGTCGTTCAGAGTTTTGATCATGTAACCTCTGTGATTTTAGTCTTTTGACTCTTTGATCTATTATGACATAGAAGAGCTGGATTTTGAGAGAAACAAAGCTCGTTTCTGTTCCTGGCTGAATAATTCCGCTCATTGAAAGGAGTGAGATTGTTGCCTCATTATCAAGAATCTCTATATTAGCTATAAAAACAGATGGAGCAAATAAAGTGTCATATTTCTGAGTCCAACTTGTAGAGTGTTAACAGAAAGAGGAGCCCATATATTTTCAGCGATTAAATTCAACCTCTTTGAAGAAATATACTGGGGAGGGAGGCTTTTCTGCTATTTACTCTGGAGTTGCTTTGGGGCTTTTCTTCCAGAAAGCTTGACTAGCTCCTGGGCAGCCTTCATAATTAATTAATGCACACTAATGATTTTCAAAACATCAGTATGTATTCCCAATCTTGTCTAATCTTCCACTAGTGTTTACTGTAGAGACACCATCAAAAGTCTTCTGTTCCAAGCAGCAGAGTTCTTTTATGTGGGAGTTGTAGAAATCCCCAGTTAGGTCTTTGTATTTGTCATTTCTAGGATTAGGATCAACAGTATGTATAGTCTGAATTTCTTGCTGTTTATACTTGATTTCATCATTCCAGCTGCTTTGGCTTGAGAAGTTTATAACTTTCAGCTTGCAGGATGCACGCTCGCATATAAGAAAGCCCATACTGATTCAGAGTAGAGCTCCTGTCTCTGCCTGGACAAGAACAGATGCTAAGGTACAGTAGAAGAAGAAGAATAGAGGTAAACCCCACAGAGTACTCTCCTAACCCTTTAGTGCCTGGTAGTTCCAGGATTCTTTGAGCCCAAAATGGTGACTTTATTTGTAGTAATCCTTAGTAATGTCCCTTACTTTATCCAGGAGCATTGTTATGGGTTCTGTCCACAGGAGACATCTGCAGATTCAAAAACAGCTTCAGTTATTGTATCAGCAGACACTATTACTTACACTAATTAATTAGGCAGGTACAGATACTCTGTATTACGTTGCAAAAAGTAGATTGTCTTGATACTGGGCTGCTGGATAATCAAAGGCCGATCTTAAGGAGTGGTTGTAAATGTAGCATGGACCATCTCACTATCAGCAGCTTAGGCATCCTGGTTAAATACAAAAAATATCCTTTATTTCATCAGAGATAATTTATTGGAGCTCAGTATCTCTAGTTAATAATTTTCTTGATGAGGGCAAGCTTTACTGAATTTACTGGAATATGTATTAGGATATTGGATTGCATGTATGATGCAGACAGACCAAAACCTTTCCTGTGCTGTTCCTCTAAAGCCTTGTACCTGATCTCCACTGAGTCATCATCATTCTTGCAGATCTCATGTACATAGTATATATGTGGTTGTAATGGTTAATAGAAAGTCCGCTCATGCCATTAATTAGGTTGATTTCATATTATTACTGTTCCAGATGCCACATCTTGGGGCAAGATCAAATGCCTTGAAAAGTAACTGCTGTCTGAGTAATTACAAAAAGAGTGGTTTTAGGTTTACAAAAAAAAGACAGTAATAATACAGTCTATCAGGTAATCAAGTAGAAGCATTTGCTGACTAAAGAAGAAGGCATCCTTTGAAAAACAACAAAATTGAGACCTAGTTTAAAGACATCTGTTGCCAATGACTGTGACTCTTATTTATTCTTACTCTACAGAAGCCCTTCCCCGATTTCTTCTTTCTCACAGACTACATCTTACACATACTAATATGGTGGCACCTTGAAAAACCATAGAATACAAAATGACCAAAGTGGGCAACTGATCCTTTCTAGCAGGATTGACAAGCACAGAAGTGTAGCTTAGTGCTATTGAAACTTTTCTTTGAAGGATACCCTAAATCTAAATACTTGGCAGACAACAAATCCGCATGTGAAAACATATGAAGGAGATGCTAGAAGATATTTTAAGTCTAATTCCCTTACCTCTACCATTTGCCATTCAGAAATTCATTTTTAAGTGGGAATTCCTCCATGAATTTTGAAAGTGTTCTGTTCCCCTTTCTTGTTAGAATACCTGATATCTTTAGAAAGGAAGGATTATAAGCCTGTTTCTTAGAGGAGACAGTATTCCTCTTTATGATTTAGAAGAATATTTCTTGTCTAAATTTCAGAATTGTTCTCTCATCTTCCCACTCTCCCATCTACCACACAAATCCTTTACCATTCTTGCTCTGATTCCTTAAAAGCTTGGTTAGGATGAAGTTTTTATTGCAATTGTTCAAATCAGCTACGTGTGTGTTTCTATTCAAGAATACTAAAAAGATGAAGTTTAGGCAGATTGGAGATCAGGCTGAGTGCACAGACAATTCAAGCTTTGAAAACTTGGATTTTTAATTCATTTTCATATGTAGCATTTTCAGAAGAATGCAGGCTTACATATAAATTAATATACATGGAACACACTGACAGATGATTGTAAGTTAATTTAGCAAAGCATATTCTTGTTTAGGCTAAACTGGTGGGCTTTTATGTCAAACTTCATTACTTAGAGACTTTAAGACCAGCAAGTGGGTGCTTCGAAGGTCAACTGTTTGTACTGTGCTTTGGTCATTGCAATAAATGTAGCAGCTTGCAAAAATTAGATAACTTCAGTTGGATCTTAAATACATTTGTTTTTATTTTTCAGGACAGAAAAAGAGTTTTCGTCAGTATCATGTTCAGTTTTTTGGAGATGCTCCAGAACGAGCCTGGATATTTGAGAAGAGCCTTGTGCCTTTCAAAGGAAAAGATCAGTTTGAACAATTATGCCAGGAAAGTGCAAAACAAGCCCTCACTAAAGCAGAGAAAATAAAGGTAAGAGGCTACCGAAAAAGGCAAGATTTTCAGACTTATTATTTTACTGTTATAAGTATGTACAGATGTAAATAGATATTCTGGTAAGCTTTGAAGCTGGCATGTAATCTTATATTTTATGTATAGATGAGAAGCAGGGGTGGCACATTACTGTTACTTATTAAAAGTCATTTCTGTTCTGCTTTGTCAATGATTAATGCTTGGTATTATTTCTGTCAAGCATAATTCCATTTGAATAACTGAATTGTAAATATACATTATACTTAGTCTCTTGGAATTGTTTTTTCTTGATGGTGGTATCTTGGAATGAAAAACAAGCACATTTCTCACAGTATTTTCTTATTTTGCAGATGTTAAAACCTGTTTCAGGGAAGCTGCGACCGCAGTGGGAGATGGGTGTTAAGCAAGCAAGTGAAGCAGTAGGCATGACAGTGGAAGAACGGAAGGCCAAATACACCTTCATCTACATTAGGGACAGACCTCATCTTAATCCTCAAGTGGCAAAGGAAGTTGGCATTGCTGTGGAGCTTTTAGAGGAGGAGGTAGATGAGTCATCTTACTCAAATGAAGAAACCACTGAAAGTCTGAAATCAGTGAAGGAGTCTGGCATTCCTAACAAGAGGAGGAGAAGGACATCAAAATTGTCTGCCACTGATGATGCACAAGATAGCAGTCAGTTGGAGACTAAGAATACTACTCCTCAAAAGTCATCTGAACAGGCTGAGTCCAAAAGAGGGATAGGCTCCCCTCTCAGTAGAAAGAAAACTCCAGCCTCTACTCCACGAAGCAGAAAGGGCGATGCAGTATCTCAGTTTTTGGTCTTTTGTCAGAAGCACAGAGATGAGGTTAGTCTCTTTTAGCTGTTACTATGGATGATTGCCTCTGCTCATTTCTGTACTTAAAGGAAGTTCTTCACTTTAGTTGGTAACTAACTGTTACTTTAGAATCTGTAGTATTCTGAGTTTGTCTGAGTATGGCTGCATCAAATCTTGGTCCAAACAGTAACAGAGAAAGGAAAGAATGTATATAAGTAGTATGAACAAAATAGTGATAATGCTGTTCCCTTCAAGCATATCACATTAGTATCTTCCTACATAAGTTAGAAGTCCTTTTTATTAGTCTTAAGTTTCTTAATATATGTAAAGTGTAGATATGCTATACGTGCGCTCAGCAAATATAAGCAAGGTGATGCTGCTTATGGTCGTCTACTTGTAGTTAGCTTGTGCATTCATTTTGATAACGTGGCTCAAATTGTACAGTGTGCTCCCGTGTCTTAACTCCTCAAAAACTCAATTTCCCTACCTAGAGTCCTTTGCTGAGCTTCAGAAAAAGCTTCAACAGTTACCAAAGTGTATGAAAATCACTGTCAGTGTGCAGTATCTTGGGACAGAAACTAGGCCTTCTTGAGAGGACTACACTCCAGGGCAAGGTAGATTAAATAACTACCATAATATCAACACTTCATAGGAAGACTGTTAGAGGTATAAAAGCGGTATCATTGTTCTGACTCACTATTTTAAAATCATGAATGTCATTTTTCTTCCTTACAACCTTCTGCTGCATTTGCAGCACAATTCCATGCACTGATGGAACCATGAGTTGTGATGTTTTATATTAATTGTGCTTTTCTATAATACCCACAAAGGCAGAAAGTTACAGATGACTTGGTTAGGGACTTCAACTGTTAAACGTTTGATTTCAATTGAAGATATTTGTGTTAGAAAATATTAACAAATCGGAACATCATAAAGAAAAACTGAAAGCCAGATTATACTGTATGGTGATAAATTAGTTGTAGTTCATTTTAAGGATCTTTTTAGATCATTACAACTCATGATACTGACAAGAATGAAAATGAATACAGTGTGCATATAGCTTCTAGTGGGTTTGGTTTACTTGAGAAAAACACTGGCAGATCAGTTTGCTAGCTCTGGAAACAAGAGTGTTTTGTAGCTAGACAATTAAACATAGATTTTGATATATTCATTTTGAAAAGCTGTATGTGTGAAACGTCTGTCTCATGTTTGAGAGAGTTCTATTTCCACTTCTGTAAGTAACCTTGCATCTTATGTAATGACAGGAGAGTATTTCCTTGGCCTGTAAGGTATGCAACAAGAAGCCTTATGCAACACTGAGGCACATAAAATTACTGCTCTGGAATAAATGAGATTATTATGATTGGTTTTACCTACACATATCTTACCACAGAAGAGGCACACTGTGTCTCTGATGTTATACTTTTATTTTCTGCACCAATTAACATGTGTCTTTCCTTTCTGATTATTCTATAGCTGTCAAATGAATAGATGGAAAACACAAAGGATATTGCACTATTTAACATTGAGGAATTGCTTTGTCTCCCGTGCCACTTTGAGACACTGAGAAACTTCCATAAACTTGAAAATTCACACTGATTATAATGGTTAATATTCTACAGAGTTTAAATTAGACTTTCAAAATATTACGTATATGGAGAGGGCATCTTGTCTTTTCTGCCTAGAATTCGTTTTAATAAAAATCAGTTGTGAAAACCCAAATCCATGTAATTATGCAGTTCATTCTAGTTGATACTGAAGCACTTGTGTGCATAGAACACAACGAGGTTACAAAAGTGATGGATAACAAATAGCAGCAGCTACCAGTCCCTCTATCAAATGAAGATCGTTAGGGTCTAATTTTTCCTTACTCTTGATATGAAGATGACTGGCATTTTAGATACCTGCTACCTAATTTTGGTTAACACTTTAAGCTTGTTAACTTGCTTCTAAAAAGGCAGTTTTGTGTCTTCAGTGGACCGTGGAGACTATATCCAAATAATGTTCAGTGTTTTCCCTTCTGTTTGGCTTATCTGTTTCAATTTGCATAGCTTGTTGTCCATATAAGATTTTTTAGTTGGTTGGTTGTTTTTTTTTTCCCATTGTAGATGCTGTTATTTTTTATGGAGTGATAACATTAGCTTAAAAACCAGACCACTTTCTAAGCTACTTGTGTTAACGCCATCTGAAAGAGTAGAATGTGGTTCCTTAAGTATTTGCAGATAGATACTTAGGAAAAAGGAAAACTGGATTTAGAAGAGGTTCTCCCAGACTTGGGAAGGAGACAGCAGTCAATGGAAAGGGAAGACTAAAAACTACTCATTTGGGGCTTCTAATAATCTCAGGGTATCTTAAAAGTATATACATTCCTACTGTACCTTGTTTGGAGTCTTGTATTAGAATTCTTATATCAGCTTCATTATTATTTACTACTTTCTGTATTGATTTTCTGAGAATGGGACAGGAATAGTTGAAGTTTTCAGAAATTAGTAGTGGCTGCTTGAGGACTGAGGGTAATGAAGGATGCAGAGCTGTTGGAGTGGATCCAGAAGAAGGCCACGAAGATTATCAAAGGGCTGAAACACCTCTCCTGTGTAGAAAAGTTGAGGGAGTTGGGCTTGCTTAGCTTGAAGAAGAGAAGGCACTAGAGAGGCCTGATAGCAGTATTCCAGTACCTAAAAGGAGCTTACAAACATGAGGAGGACAAACATTTTACGTGATCTCATAGTGATAGGACAAAGAGAAATGGATTTAAACTGAAAGAGGGGAAATTTAGGTTAGATGTTAGGAACAATTTTTTTACTCAGGGAGTGGTGGGTGCCCCATGCTGGAGGTGCTCAAGGCCAGGTTGGATGGGGCCCTGGGCAGCCTGATCTAGTGGTTGGCAACCAGCCCACAGCAGGGGCTTGGATCTTGATGGTCTTTAAGGTTCCCTTCAGCCTGAGCCATTCTACAATTCTATGAACTGCCTGAGAATGTTTTTAGTGATTTAGCAGGAATGCTTCCATAAGGGAAGGAGGCATTTAAACTTGGAACGCTTTCATAGTTTCAGTGATACACAAGTATTTTGTGCAAACCAAAGAAGTTTATACTGTTGGCTTTCTTGTGCACTCTCCCTATGTGAAATACAACCATCATAACTGTTAGAAGGCATCTTGAGATAAAGGTATTTTCAGTGAGGGACAAAGCCATATTGTCTGTGTTAATGACTTGATTTGGACCTTGAGTCTTTTTAGAAGTAAATTAAGAACTGATTTCATTAGTAAATGAAGGACTAATTTCATTTGTAGGGTGTACAATGTAAGTTTTCTGCAAGTATAAGGAATTGTTGAATATCAAGACAAGTAAGAGTGGAGGTAGTTTGCTTTACTTGGATGGGCTAGTACATGCCTGATCTAAGCACCACGTTTCATGCACCTATAGTGATATTAATACGTAGATCCAGGACTTCTCATACTTTTGTCCATATTTAGAAAAATATCTTGAAGAAGCACATGACTTTCATATATACTGTATCAACTACATATGAGAGGAATGTTACAGCATGAAGATGTTGGTGTCCGACTTTGCGTATCCCCTAATTATCAAGAAGCATGGTTTTTTTTCTGCCTGTCATTTCACTGCTTTCCTATTTGATTGACAGTTATTTTTATTTGTATATTATTGAAGCTGGAGGCACCACTAAGGTCATTTATGCAAACAAAGGTAGATATTCCTTAGAAAGTTAAATAATTCTATGCCTTAGTTGGGCACGATAAACTATATACGGTCAGCAGCCAGTTGTCAAAACTGATACTACCTAGTTTGCTTTAGGAAGTGAGATGTGTGGAAGAGGTATTTTGTAGATCTGTCTGTGTTGTCTCCTCTCAGTAACTTTTTGGACACTTCTCAGTTTTAATCAGACTTTGAACAGAGGCCCCCGAAGGTCAATGTCCTATTAGCAAGTAAATTATATGAGGTAAAAGGAAAAAGAATCTTAGTACTTAACCAGGGGAAAAATGACGTGTGTTTTCTTACTAGGCTCTAATTAATCTCAATGGAAGGAAGGTATTACAACAATTCCAACCCCTGGAGAAGCTTTAGTCACACTTGTACCTTGCTTGACACCAGAATTTTTAATGTAAAAATACTCCGTTCTAAGAAGTTAAGGTTAAAACACTTGGCCTTATTGGCCTACTTTTTATTTTGCTCTGTGATTTTGGGGTATTGGTTGCATCACAACAGTAATAAGTGGTGGGACTGCTGATTAGAATTGGAAAATGCTGGTTAGTGACAGTGACCAAGGGCTGTGTTTCAAGGTATTGTTTCATTCTGGGAGAATGCAGAATCTTAGAGTTTTCTGATTTCTTTATCAAATCTGTCTTTCCTTAAGAGAAAGTATGGAAATACTGAAGAAGTTTCTGGCTTTTTTGTTTCTAGGAAGTCAGTTAATTTCAGTGATGATGGCTGTGGTGTATTGTGTTTATATTAAGAGAAGATGCACAGGTTTTTGAATTCCTAGCATTTGTATAAATGGTATAAAATGAGAAAATAATACAGGAAGATGTTACCTCAGATGCTAGTTTGAGTAGATCTCTCTGCTAAGATAGGAGATTCCCTATGAATAGTGAGTTCTCCTATAAATTGGTGGATGTCTTTATAGGCAAGCGCATATTCCAATATCATATGCCTGTTTTCTGTGGGATAGATTTTAACTTCATTCAGTAATAATAGAACCTTTTTGAAGCACCATGCCACAGGGTTTATATGTACTCAATTTTCTGTATGTTAAAAGGCAAATGGTTCCAAGGTGGTTCTTAATGACTCTGAATCTGCTAAAAGATTCTCTTTTCAGAGAGAGAGAAATTGTAATTAAAAATAGTAATAATAATAATGGGTACAAAATGCTCAAACGTAGTTCCATCTGTAGCAGAAGCATTAGAAAACTTGTTTGTATCCAGTTTTCTGAGGCTGTGGAAGAACAAATTCCGTTCTTTTTGCTGGTCTTTTTTTTTTTTTTTTTTTTTTTTAATAAAACCCTATTTCTGCATGTATAGGTGGTTGCTGAACATCCCGATGCATCAAGTGAGGAGATTGAAGAGTTGCTTGAATCGCAGTGGAACATGCTTAGTGAAAAACAGAAAGCTCGCTATAACACAAAGTTTGCCATAGTGACCTCTCCCAAATCTGAAGAAGACTCTGGTAAACGTAAAACTGTGCTAGTGTACTCTAACTAAATTTGATAAACATAGTGGTGTTAAACTAAGCACATATTTGAGACCTGTAGGGAAAACAGCTTTCACTGTTTTCCAAGTTTTAATTCTTGGTGTTTGTGCCAATAGCAAAGGAATGCCAATGGTTACAATAAAAGCAACCCATGAAGTCTACATTTCTTGCTCGTTGTTCTGAAAAGTTGTTATATGTAAACCTCCTACTGTTTAGAGATTGCTGATTTCTCATTCTTCTTTTGCCCATAAGCAGCTGCCATTACACCCACTGCCTGTTATAGGTGGATGCTGGAAAGGGAAAATGAAGTGTTAATACTAGTAAAATTAGAGTTGCCTTTTTAAAAATAGAGTAGATAGTAAATGGCTTCAGAAGAGTGATCAGTGCTACACCTCTTCTTCATATGAATACCTGTAGTGTATTACCTCATCACCATCAGCTCAGGAAGAAGTATTCTGACCTTTATTCGGTATCCTTCATTCACTTGGCATTTTATTGTACTATGCAAAATTTTTAGGACATTGTACAAGATTTCAAATACGTTTTTTTTTTCCTTTTTCTTGTCGCTGTTGTCTAGCATTTGCATTTAATGATCAGTCTCAATTATTTTGCAAAGTATTTGAGGGTTGTTGAGTCATGCATTTGAGAAAGGAGGAAGGTAGTTTGGCATTTACATGGATTTTAGCAATTTTTTAGTAGTTATCATGTTTCAAATTTAAATAGTTTCTCAGCACTGTAAGAAGACAATGTGGAAGTGTAAGAAACGAACAGGTGCTGCTTTGGGCAATGACAAGAATGAGAGTGAGTGTTTGAAAGTTTGTGAGACTTGGAAAAACTTGTATAAAAATGGCAGTCAGTTTTGTTAACTGTGTGTGTGTGAAGTAACATAATTTTGTGGAAAATTGAAAAGTTTTTAACTTTAAAATATAAGTGTCAAATATTTGGATATCAGTTTAAAAAAAAACCACATTCTGTATCTCTCAAGGTTCATCATTGAAGAATATTGGAGAGGCCAAACGTAAAGTGTTTCAAGACTCACCTAAAAGGAGATCAAGATCCAGAAGTAATTGAAATTTGTGTTGTGTGAAATAGTTCATTATAAGTAGCTATTGAGTGTATTTTTTTATGTAATCGCCCACGTATCATAATCTCTTTATTTTATCTCAGATGTTGTCTTCCTTGACGATAGAGTTTTAATGGATCCCAAATTAAATATCTAAATGCTGTAGTGCTGAATTTTGTTCAACTTCCTCAGTGTCATATTGCAAGAAATGTAATTGAAATTGTACCTGTACCAGGTGTTTCTAGTACATATATTGTGTACATTTATAGTTATCTAAGATGAAAACATGTCAATTGAATTGTTTCCCTACCCAAATCCTCTTATCTTAAACTTGGAAGAATATTGTGGGATTTGTTTTACTGGCTTTTTGTAAGTAGCAGGTTCTCCTGGAGCCACATCAGTCTGCTTTATGAAATCAGAGTCCTAGTTTTTTTAGATAGGAACATTAATTTGAAAATTATTCATATTTTCAAGTTACTATATTTTTAATATTTACAACTATTTGTTCCCACTGGAATGGAATACTTGTAGCTGTAGGGCAATTTTCAGTTTACATATTTGTGCCCCTGGAGCTTGCAGTCTTTGAAATAATAATACTCTGTAGCTTCATAAAGTAGAGAGTACTGGAGAGTGTAATGATGTTGTCATTTCATCCTGATGAACCAGTATACTTCTTAAAGCTTCATCTATCTTTTTGTGATAGAGCAAGTGTAAACAATTGCTGAACCTAGGGAAAGAATATGTAGGTTAGTTGGTGACCTTTTGTTATTTAGCTAGCTGCTTTTGAACTTTCAGTGAATGATCATATAGATGTGTCAATAAGTCTGTTTTGGATTAAAATGACCAAAGTGAATCTGTTCTTAAGAATTTTGGTTCACAAACAAATGGGGTCTTATGGTCTCCTGTAAAACGTAAGTAAGCTTGTTGGAAAGAATCTGGAATTGCTATGCCAAAAAGAGAGAATTAATCTGTACAATTGGTGATAGCTTGTTTTTTCCAGAAGCCCCTTAAGCTGATCTCCAGTGCCTTCACCAGTATCAACTGGAGAACTCCTCGTGGAGATGTAAAACTTAGATTCCGTGATATGGCACTATTACAAAGTGGCAGAAGAGTTAAAACCACGTGCAGTCTGACAATATGAAACAAATGTTGGATAGTGATATTCAGATCTTATACTAGTGCTTATGTAGGCAGACTCATCTTTCTAAAATGACTATTGAGCAGTTGATTTGGAGTGTTTAGAGCTTGCCTTCAGCAACAGGAACCAGACCGCAGGCATTAAGAGGTCACCAAACTGTGTTAATGTTTAACCATGTTTAGAAACAATGACTGATAGAAAAGTAACTTAAATAACTAGATCAGTTCAAAATAATTTGAAAGTGGGTTTTAGATTATTTTTCATGTAAGTTTCCCCCATCCCCCATCCCAAGGTAACTTACATGGAAATAAAAGAAACCAAAAAAAGAGGACAAAGGAACCTACAGAAGATTTTGAAGTTCAGGAGGCACCTAGGAAAAGACTCAGGATGGATAAACAGAATAATCGGAAGGTAATTATGTTGTTGGTTTGTTTGGGTGGATTTATAGCAGCACCAATCACATTGCTGTAGTTAAGTTTGTCAGCATTTCCATTTCCAGGACTAAAAAAGTAATGTCTTTGAATCAAATTAAACTATTGTAAATATTCAAAGAAACGTGAGCTTATTGCCATGGGTTTTCTTCTTTGGTTTCAAGCAAAGAGATGTGAAGTTGCTTTTGCTACTTAGACTTTGGTGAAAATGCATGCTGAGAAAATCTGTTTCCCAAAGGAATATGCAGAGGCATGACGTGTCAGTATAGCCTTATAGTATTTTTCCTTTCCCTGTGAATCAGATTTCAGGCATGTATACAAGAACGTGTACAAAAATCTCTAATGTCTTAGGATACTTCTTTTAGACAAAAGTTGGGGAAGAGAGGAATGCAAGTTCAGCAGAACAGGAAAACTAATTTTCAAAAAGTGGATTGAATCCTACAGTACATTTTAGTGACATCTCGTCTAATTGCTTAAGATAGGAAACTGTGGTAAATACAGCATATTTATCGTTTAGATCACAAGCTTCTTTTTAGTTTAACTTGCTTGTGAGAATGAGAATTTTCCTTACGTAAGTCACTAAAATTATGTATGTGTCAGCCCAAATCCTGTAGATGCTCAACTATAGGTTTATTGAGTTGTGATTTTAGATCAGTGAACTTCTTAGGTTGTACTTCTGTGAAGAGTTTAGCTCCTAGATGTTTTCACATGTGTTACTAGAATACCATACTGTGGTGTGGGTATTGCAGACCATGCTTGAGGACTTCAGTGTCATGTTGGTTAAATGAAGCAAGCTAATACATGGAAAGGTGATAGATTTATTTTTAAATGAACTCTGGAGGTCACATTTAGAGATGTCAGTCTGATAGGCTTGTTACTTCTGTAGCTTGTCTTGATACTGCAGGTATCCAGACAACCGGTTAAAGGTCACTGAAAACAGTAAGTAGAATTTCAGATACCAGACTTGTAACTTAATAGTAAGGAACAGAGAGAGTTCTTAGAGAAGTTTTGGGGAGAGACAAAAGTGTTTTTTGCGCTTTCTGCTCTGAGAGGCCAGTGATTGAATATCCATTTTATATTCTAGGAGAAATTTTTTAGAAACTTCAAATATATGTCTAATTGATTTGAATTACTATAATGCACTAGATACAGGGAAATAATTAAATTTATTTATTGAAATTAACCCTTGTTACCAAGCCCCTGTTTTGAATGAAATAAAAGTTCCTTCTTTACTGCCTGACCAGTTTTTGTTGCAGTTGGCCTTGAAGATCACAAGTAGAATAAATGGTGGTTACAGTATAGCTCACGAAGAGGAGATTCTGCTGTCTTTGATACCATGATGCAGATGAGACTATTAAATAAATGAATAACTGAGATAAGTTATTCTAATAAGATACACCACTGATAATACTGACTTAGATAACGTGCTTCATACATAAAGTGGTGTCCTTTGTTTAATTTATCAGAAGTAGATTTACGGCGTCTGGTGCATGTAAATACTGTGTGATTTGGAAACTCTAAATGCACAAGGCAGTACTTTTTGTCTTCTGCCCACAGAAGGATCAGTTATCGTAGAATGGCTTTTTTCTGCTTTTGGTGTTTTTTTTTTTTTTACTGGATAATCTTTCAGTCATCTTCCTGCTTCCACCAGCCCAGGATTGTAGCTGTGTGTGCTGCTGCTTAGTAGAAAATGTAGTGAATGACAGCAACAGTGTCTACACAATGATTCAAAAAACCAAACACTAGCTGTACACTTCCTTCTACTATTCCCAGACTGTGTGTAGACTTACGTTACAATCTTTTGGGATACGTGAAGGCTTACTGATTTTTCATGAGCACTTGCTGTGCATTACCCTTTTCTTTTTGTCCTAAACTCTTACTTACAGAATCTGAATGTTGTTTCACAAGAGACTAAATTGTAGTAAGTATATGAAAGTCTTGAAGTCTTTTCATTCATCGATGCTTTCAAGATGTATGTAAAATGCACGTTAACGGAGGGGTTTCTGTAAAGCCTGCTTTAAATTGTATGAATTATCCTGTACATTTTTATTCATTGAACACAGCAGCATCAGTGGTAGGGTGCCTTGGTCTATTTAGACATCAGTAGAAGTGTAGTGCCTCACATTTGTAGTACAGTCTCACCTTCTCAGTACCTTCTCATCTTCTCACCTGGACATCTTTTATAAAACAGTCAGATAAAGAATATGAAAAAGTACATAATATTTGTGCTGTAGAGTTTTTTCTTATTGCTCATTTGAGCATTTTATAGGGTTGAGCATTCTTTGATACAATTTTATGCTCTTACAATTTGAATAAGTTTGTGAGATACAAAGAAAATAACACTAATTTTGACACAGCTTTGACAACAATTTCCCCAGTTTAGGGGATAAATTCTGATGATAAATTCTCAGTCTGGAGCAACTTTATTCATTGCATATGCTTCCTTGATAATAGTGTTTATATTTTGGAAATGCTGGAACAATCTTAACCATAGTAATTTTTAAAATGGCACTGCTGCAAGTTTAGAGTTGAAAGCAAGCCTCTGAGACTTAAATTCTGCATTTATTCTCAAATTTATATAGTACTTCTGCAGTTTACCCTTAATAATTAAAGGTTTTAATTTGACCAGTTCAGACCAAGATAGTAAGGGTAATTTACATGTTTTGTTTTCATATAGAGTTCCCCTTTCTGAAATGCTGAGTTTGGGATGGATAAGTGGGATGCTGGATTACCGTGTTCTTTAATTTTACTCATTTGTTTATGGGTTTGTACCCTGTTTTGTACATAAGCTTTAAAAAAATTACTTAAATGGGGGTAGCTTAACAACATTACCATGCAGGTATTTGTAAAGTCACCTTAATAACATAAATCCAGAAGTAATTGCTAGTTTTGTCCAACCACTCATAAATTAGGAGTTTTTTTATTTTTCTTTTTTTTTTTTTTTTTGTGACAGAGGGAGACAAGCAATGACAAAACACCAAAAACAAACTCTACTAAGGTCACAGAAACCTCCTCTTCACAAAAGAACCAGTCAGGTAATGTGGTCAGAATAAGTTTTAATGTAACTTTTTCAATTAAATAATATAAAAATAAACAGGTTGTCTGAGGTAGTCAGCTAAATTTGCTGATGCAATAACAAGATACAGCCACTGTGCCACAGACTGGGGGAGACTGTGCCCTCTTCCTTCACTACCACCATTTTGCAGCATCATACTTGCTTGAAATTGTGCATTGCTGATTTAGAGCAGCAGTTCACAAGTTCACCATTTGATGGCACCAAATTAAAGCTATTGTATACAATATAGCCCTGTGATCTTGGAGAGCAGCGATAAAAATCCTACCGCTCCAATTTGTTCTTCAGTTACCCAATAAAACAAGTACAGTGACCATCACTGCAATCAGTTACTATGTAATTTTAGACCTTTTAAATGGTGCTTTATGGGAGGCAGTGTGGTGCATGAGAGGGAATTCTAAATAACCTTGTACCAAAAGCCAGATGTTCAAGGTTAAGATAACTTCTGCAAGAGCATGTCTCTTTAGATGCTATAATGAAATTCTGAAGATGAATAAGCTTCAGAAAGTTCTGCACAACATAGAAGTGGTGATATGTCTGGTACCTTGTCCCTGTTCTCTTAACAAAGTATTAGTGGTACGCAGATTCTGATGAGATAACGTAGACCTTCTAGTGCTTATTTGAGGACATACCTGTTACCTCTGCTTTGAAGAGGTCATAAGTCACAAGATGTTTTGCTTTAAATAGACGTAAGTGCTTGGAAAACATTTTTTAGCCATCTGTAGTATGTGTTTGCTTAATAGAAACCTCTTTGCTTTTAAAATCAAGCAAAAACGTGATTTCAGAAACTTCTTGTTTTCTCAGCCTTACATAAATGCCCACAAGACCTACGTAAATCATTCCTTCTTTTATCTGAAGGAATATTTTAAATGGCTTCAGGGAGGTAACGTTTTAAAGTTCCAAACTTCACTTTGTAAACCAAAATTATTTTACAGCAACGAAAAATCTGTCTGATGCATGTAAACCTCTGAAGAAGCGAAATCGGGCTTCAGCAGCAGAATCTTCAACTCTTGCTTTTAGCAAAAGTTCATCTCCTTCAGCTTCCTTAACTGAGAATGAGGTAAAAAAAAAATGGTGTTTGCACACAGCCATTTAATTACAGAAATTTTCAGGTGTGAATCTTTTTGTTTAAAAGCAAAAAACAAAGGCGAATTCTCTAACGTTGGTGCTCTAGACAAGTTACAGTTCTGGCCTCTGTGAAACCTGTTAATGTGTGCATTGCAAATTCATTTATTGTAACAAGAACGTCTGATTTGGGGACGTCAAAATATTATTGTGGTTTTTAATGTATTTACCAACAAAGTTTTAGAATTGTAACCTTCTGTTAGAGGCAAAGTAAAATGCCAGTGTGTTCTGTATTTTCTTCTACAGACTTTATGTAAGCGTACTACATTAGTTACATTATGTAACTCAATATTGTCATGTTGCCATAGCTTTTATATTGAAGCAAGTTTCCTAATCCTCCAATGTAGAACTGGACAGTTTTCTGAGCAGAGCCCCTTTAAGCTCAGATTAGTTTTCAGGCTGTTTAAGTGCTATTTCTCTGTGATGCAAATAGCTTCATTGTCTGAGGAGTTAAGCAGGCAGTGAAGGAAGTATCTTTTTGATACTTACTAATCATAGTCTTAGCTCTGCATATTTGGAACTGTAATTCTTTTCAATTGACATACAATAAATGAAATGTATGTACCTGAATTGTATTCATACAATCCCTTGAACCGTTCCCCGAGTTATCTACACTATTAAGACAAATCAGCCAAAGAGTAGCAGCATGAGGGTCAAGTATGCATGCTGTGTTGCAGGTGGATTCAGAAATGTAGTTGGTAGGATTTATTAAACTACCCATGGACAAACACCTTCAAGAAGTTTGCATTACAGAAGTTGTAGAGAAAAGACATGCCTGCTAATGAGGGAGTAGGGCTTCCAAATATCCTAGAGACTCTTTAGTCTCCCTAAACAAAAAGCATGAGGTGCTTAGACACTGAATGAATGCAGTTAAAATATCTAGACTATGTTCATAAATGGTTTACCTTTGGGGGTGGGGAAGGTTGCATGTTAATGGCTGTTTATCTTACTGTAACTTGAAAATACCTTTTATAAAAACAAAAAAAAAAACAAAAAAAAACCACCTTGCATTCTCCCTCCTGTACCCTAATAAAATAAACTAAAGAAGTCCCACCAGAAAAATATGTCCAGGGCAGTGGTCAAAAAAACTAACACTTGTTCTCATTTTGTTCTTGCAATTGAGAAAGTCCCAGTTATCATTGGCATAACACTTTCTTCTGTTTTGACTTTACAGTCGGAACTTGCAATCTGAGTTGTTTGTATTTGGGACCAGCTATTAAGCCAGACTCATTTAAGGATCATACTATATTTTTCATTCTAAATATGCGTCTCTAAATTTTGTAATCTGAGGAGAAAGATTTTATTTCTGTTTATAGCGTTATTAAAAAAAAAAGAGAAAAAGAATGAAGCCTACAGAAATCTTTCTCTATAAAAATCTCATTTTTGTAGGATTTTGGGTTGTGTCCTAGCAGTTTACATGTAAAAATTGAAATCACTGTTTAGGCTGAGATGAAAATCTTAAAACTTCACTCTTTATTTACTCAGCTACTGCTGAATAGCAAGAAGTGTGAGAAAAATTAACATCATACAGTGCTCATAAGGCAGATATACAGATTAGAAAGTGAATACTTTCCTGTGAATGTTTTCCTGATGTTTCGAAACGGTTGAATTATAGAAACATAGAATGGCCTTGGTTGAAAAGGACCTCAAAGAAAGTTCCAACCTTCCTGCAGTCAACACAACAAAAATGTACCCTATCAAAAAAACATAGACCTGAGGGGAGCTGGGTAGCTTGAGGAGTAGATAACAGTGGGCTGGATCCTTAAATGGTTTAAAGCTGCACTGACACAAAGTTTTACCAGCTAAGGGTTGGACCCAATTTGTTTGATAATTTGATAATAGATTTATTTTGCTTTTAAATAAATACTAAATATATATATATATGACAGGCATGTATTTCTGAACTCACAAAACAAGGAAAGATATAAACCTTGGATGTTGTGGGTGGCTTTAAAATCCTTTTTCCCTTTTGTACTGTGATTTAGCACTTGTCTAAACAGCTAACTACATGTATGTCCTGAGTGTTCATCCAGAGAGAAAGCTTCTCCGGAAAGAGGGAAAGAGTTTTAAAAAATAAACACAATCGTGCAGTGCTGAAAGCCTTGCTCTGCTGGCTGAATAGGATGTAATTCTTTTCAACATTAAATACATTTGCTGACTAACTTTTATATTTGTGTTCACTATTACACTTCTAAGTGTTGACTTAAATGCTCTTCTGACAAAAGTGAAAAAAAAATACTGTGTATTCCACAAGCACATACACCTTCACCAAGCAATATTAAGTGGATTCTGGCTGTTTGGTTTTGGTTTTTTTTTCCTTCTTTGTTTGCCTCGCTACTTGTGGACGGCTTGTTCTAGAAGGGAGCCTGCATATAACTGTTATTTGTCAAGGACTGTAGCTAGTTGCAAACCTCTTAAATGTCACTCATTGCAACTAAAGTTTAGTAGAAGTGTGTTTAGTAAAGAGGGGTGCGCACAGTTGGTTTTTTTTTCTTCTTTGAAAGATCATCTTATTTTGACTATTTACAAAGATTTTGGATGGTTGTTATTGTTATTTGGGGCATTTTTAATGGGAATACTTGAAATATTACAAAATGAACAGAAGCCCAAATTTTTAATCCATAAGTCATTTTAGGTGCCTAATTTAGAAGGGAGAGAGAACCATGGATTGGGCTTCTCCCAACATACCAGAGGGCAAAAGGTAGGTAGGCCTTTGCTCCTTTCATAATATGGGGGTTTTAATTACTTTAACATGATGGACAGGACCAGTAAGGATTTTCTCTAAGTCAATGGACAAAAAAAATAGCAATGCCTTTGTTTTTATTTGACATTTATACATGAATGAGTAAATGTCATACCTGCATATAATCTTGGGGAAAGTACTTAATTTTACTTCTGGGCACTTGGCATCAGCAGTAATTTCCTTGAAATCTATTTCTTAATGAGGAGCTGTGGGGCATAGTGTGGGAAAGATAATCAACATTTCCAAGTCCACAGAAGTTCAGTGTAGTACTTTACTGCTGCTATAAGATTCGATGTAACCATCCAAAACCTCGTATTTTTGAAAAGAGATGCAAGTGCTGTCATTTGCCTTCTCCTTCTACCCCTCAATAATGTAGTAGGTGCCAGTAGAGTGTAACCAGTATTTTTTAATAAATAAAAAAAGGCTTTGCATTACCATTGTTGTTGGATTATTAGTACATTTTGTGTATTTGCACAAGATATACCTGTTCTAGCTTTTCAATCAATTTTTGTCGTTATTGGCTGGCTTCATTAAATTGAATGGATGGTTCACAGTAGATTAATGTCACAGTATCCTATAGGGTCTAGATATTACCTCTGAACTTTGTCAGAGAATCATGATATCTTTAAAGAGGACAAAATAAAGAACATGTAATACTCTAAATTGTTAGCTTGTTTGTCATTCATCGTACCCCTATGAAGTAGGAGCTGACCAGCAGATGGCAGTTGAAAAAAGAAAGATCTTGAAAGTGTTGTTTTTAATGTAAGTTCGTGTCTTCCCTAGAGGGAATTCTTTGTATAGCATCCAGTGTCAAAACATGCCCAGCTGCTGGTTATAGCTCCAACTTCTTGTATTTCCATTGCCTAATAATGTAAGACAGTAGCCTTAAGTTTTGCTTTTCTTGTGCTTATTAAACAGTACATTTTTTTTAATTACTAATTTGAGGCAGATTTCTTTTATCTGTGTTTTTGGTTTTTGTTTAATGGGTATTAGTATCTATACAGAATGGGAAGAATACATACAGAACTTAAAAGGTAAGCTGTTTGAACCAGAAGGCAGTCATGAGACATGTACAACTTGCAACTAAGTACGTCAGCTCCATTTATCAACCCTGGAGTCTAATTGTCCTACATTATACAACTAAAATACTCCAGGCATGCTTAATAAAGGTAAAAATAACTGCCTTTGTGATCCTAAGAACAGAAAGGAAGAAGGAAATTCACATTATTTTTAAGAAACTACTGCCCTGAAGAAAAAATAGTTGAAGATACGCTTGCAGGTTGTTCTAAAAATATATGTATCAATGTCTTTCTGGCATTTTATTCTTAGCTTCCTTCAGTGATAGTTTTCTCTTCAGAACAAGGCTTAAGAATAACAATATTTAGTTTCTCTTTACATCCTTCATGACCTAGCAGACAGTTGTTTCCTGTTTGTTTCTGTATGCCTATAGAGTTCGCTTCCCTGTTTCAAAGCACCAATAAGCAGTCAGGGGTATGGTTTTGTGAAACACTGCAAGTAATTGGACTTCTTTCATGCTAAACCTTTGCCAAAGCCTCTAACAGTTGAAATGACTTGCATTGCCTACCAGGCCGTACTGCTTTGTTACGATGCTTTCACTTTCACGTGGAAAAAAAAAGTTCTAGGTTTGAGTCTTGTTCTTTGGCAGCACGTTTTGTGTAGAAAATTAAGTTTCTTATGTAATTACTCTCAGCTTGTGTATTACTTAGGCTTTGGAGTGCAGAGAATCTGTTTACTGAATGTTTATCACATGTAGGTTTTTATTCCACATCTCGTACCAAAGTATCGTGGGTGTCAAGAGGCAATTTTATAATGTTTTAAAATGTTCTCAAAATTCTTATTAACTTTCCAGGCAAATTCAGAAATGCATAATATCCTTACCTGAAACGTCTAACTACTGCTAATAATAAAAATGAAACTTGTCCCAGGCCGTCTTTTTTGCTATGATAGTACTGTGTACACTTGTGGCACCGCATACTTAAAGAATTTATCTAGTCTAGCAGTATGGGCCAAAATACCATTCTTCAGTTCAGGAATTCTTATACTGAAATAAAGGAAATGTTAACTGTAACTCAATTGGCTCTGTCAGTTTTTCTGTCTGCGTGTGGGTGCACAATAGATTGTCTTTCGAATACAGTCTGATCTATCTGCATGTTGTTTATATATTTTTATAT